TTTGTGAGATTAGTAGTCAAGTAGGGTTGCGTAGCATGAGTAATTTAATTTTGTTCCACGTTACATTAGATCAAATCGTGATTTCATACCATCGGCGATAATTGGTGGTTACGATGCAACATCGTGATCATGTAAGTTTGATACAAATAATGATTCCGATGCACAAGTGTGATTTTTTATGCTAGATCATGATTGGTACACAAGAAACTAACTTCTATCACTTCGATGTAAATACTAAATAGCAAGACTCATACAAAATATTACGGTTTTTAGACAAACTCAAGATCATGAGGTTTTGAAACAAATATTTAAATCTATTGTGATGAGAAACTAAATAATGGTGATTATGTGATCATTCCAGTGAATTTTTTTGTATAATCACAGTTATAATTATGATGTTAAACTTCATACTTGTAATTTTTGAATTACAATTTTCAAAAGTGGCTAATAAAAGAAACGAATAATAAAATTCTAACACTGAAAATTAAATATCATGATTAGTCTTTCAAATAGGATTTTGGGTATGCAAAATTCAAATAACTAAATTTTATTGTGTGCTAACAATTTATGAATTACATCGAAGTGAACTATGACATTGATCATAACACATCGATAAAAATGTATAGTCACTAGGTATGTTTTGTTTTTTTAGGCTTCAACTACTAGGTCTAAATATGCTATCACAATTAGCTCAACTAGCAAAAAAAGATTATTCTATTTAATTTTGTAATTTTGATGGTACAGCACAATAGACCCAAACTAATACTAAACAATTTCTTTCTCAAAAAAAAAAAAAATACTAAACAATTATGTGGTACATGAAAATCGATGTTGTCATAGTGATTACCATGTCCCGCTTTCTCTCTTGGGTAAATAAGAGAGTCAGAAAAGTCCTTACCATGTCCCGACCGTGTCCTGATGATTTTTAATCTTTTCTGACTCTCTTATTTACCTAAGACAGAAAGCGATTTGTCATTTGAAGTTGTGATATGAAAGTTATGAATGTTTTCTGTAGTTGTTATTTGCTGTGAGAGTTTCCGACCAGTCAGAGGAGAATTTACGCTGCAGTTTCGTCAATGATCGGATGAAGCTTATATTTGGTAAGCAGATTATTAACTCTCTGATCTAGTAATATTTGAAAGAAGTTTGTCATTCGGTATTATGGAATGAATGTTATGGATGTTTTACTTGGACTGATCTGTACAGAGTGAGTATTCGACCAGCCGACTTTGCATACATTTTCCGGCCAAGTATAGAAGAAATAGATTTTGATATGGACGTCGTTAGAAAGATCACGGATTCTAGTTTTTGTAGAAGCTTTTGGTTCTAAATTACGAGGTATGATCTATTCGTAATTCGTATTTCAATATTGAGAAACATCACTGTTTCTGAAATTGTAATTCTTATTTTCATATCCGATCAGAGAATTTGTGAGCTAATTTCCTATCATTTTGAAAGGACCCAGGAGACGATATGGATATCATTGGAAAGCTCTGAGTCATGGCTTTCTAGAGGCACCAAGTTTGTCTTGATCTGAGGTACGAGTAAGAAGTTATAGCTGTTTTCTTCTGACTGATATAATTTGACCGAACTGAATAAACATTTTAGAAAGTTTAATAATGGAATGTTAAACATGGGTTCCTAATCGCAGATTCGCAGTAGCTCATTCTTCCATGTTCATTCTTCCATGTCCATCTATCCATAAAGGCTAAGGTGAGGGTGTTGTCTAGATTACTTTAATACTAGTTAACACTAGATGTTCTTACATGTTAGTCTAGGAATGGAATGTGATGTTGTTGGTTATATGTGCTAAGTCTAGGA